GTTTCCTGTGGGAAATAGGAGAAACTTGAGATTTCAGTTTTGGGTTTAGGAGTAAACCCTACGAGTTGACATTGATGGCGATTTTCCACTGGAGTATCAGGCAGCATGTCTACCGCAAGGAAATGATCTATCATGAGCAGGTAGTCAGTGGGGACTGAGATAGTTAAGGACCACACTACACCCTAACTGAGTATAGTAGGGCATGTGACAACGGTATCAACAGGTAGTCCAGTCGATTATATCAGCGCGGTGGCCCTTCTGACTGTGATGGGTATTGAGTGTGGTAGTGGAGTCCCTATTCTCGTGATGATTCACGTGTTGGATCGGGGGTTGAAAAGTCGAGGATGCGGAGTATGATGATTTATTGTTTCATTCTAAGAGTTAGTGATAGTACTGGACAATTGGGATGTTCAGTATTGAGATGGTATGAGGTTTCGAATGGCTAGGGGCAGTCGTGATGAGAAGTTCCTGAGGACTTCTTCGGAGATTTAGGGTATTTGAGGTTTCTTGATCTCTACGTGGGGAGATCATTGGGCGTTGTGTGGCACCTTCCAAGCGTAGGTGTGATGTTTCTGGGGGAAACCGTCTGTGGGGTAGAGTGTTGATATGTCAATTGGTGATGGTTTGAACCCTAAGTGGGGGAGAACCGGGTATTCCCTTGAGGGAACCAGAGATTTGTGCAAGAGCGATTAAGGGTTGGATATAGAGACCTGCGGCTCGAATTCATAAGACCAGGGTCATTGGTGATCAAGGAAAGGTACAGAGCAAGATAATGCATGTGGTATGTGTCTGAGAAAGGATGGGTGTCTCCACGACAGGTGGCCAATGGTCAGGAACCTGGTGGTGGTCAGGGTCGTTTCAAGTGGAAAATTCGTGACGATGGTATGGGTAGTTGAAAACTTCTGGGTCGATGTATGGATTGTATATGCCCCGTTTTGGGGAGGATAGAAGATTACCGAGCAGCCAACTCCCGTGCTGGTATGTGTACTCTTGCTTGGAATTTTGAGCAGTAGGGGAAAAGGTTTCGGAGGATCATCAGCGTGTTCTGAGGCATTAGCGTTTCCTTGTATTCCAATTGAGTGTTTGGATACACTAAAGTTGCGCATTGGGTATAATGAAGAATTATTTATGGGGTTCAGAGGAAATGTATTGTTGTATCTGTATGATGATGGGAGTAGGAGATCAGTGGTTGAGGCAGGACATCGTGATGTTCTGAAATGGTGTTCCGTGGTACCCGGGTATAATGTTCTTAATTTGAAGTTATTTAGAATCTTGAGTTTGAGACGACTAGTGGTGTATCATGTATCTACGGTTCCAGTGGGAGCCTTTCGGGTATTGACATCAAGAGGGATTATTTAAGAAAGTGGATCCCCGCAGAGGTAGGTATTTTTGTTATAGTGGTTGCCGCCAGAGTCTGTGATGCATATGTGGGGCAGGTCTGTGTAGCTATCTATGATAGTCTGTGGAGCATGAGTTAGTGGACGTAGTGTGGCGTCGTAATGAAAAGGAGAGTATGGGGTGAAGCTACGAGGAGCCGTAGTATTCACTAGTAAGAGGATATTGTGATGCTACGGGGAGCCGTAGTACTCACAAGTCAGAAAGATGGAGTCGTAGTACTACGGGGAGCCGTAGTACTTACTAGTCAGAGGTTGTCGTGATGTTGCAGGGAGCCATAGTACTCACTAGACGGCAAGAGAGTGTAATGATGGAGTGTTCTCCGATCAGTGTATAATGCAGAAGAGTTTTAGGCTTGAGTAGCCCTAGTATTGTGTTTTTGGAGCCTGGTGGTTGAACCAGGGGTGAGATGGGGGTCTCCGTCTCTGTCGGGAATCATTATATTTTGTTTTGAGTTGTGATTGTCGCAACATGAGGAAGTTGGAAAAGTGGTATTGCACGGGACGCAGGCCGAGTCATGAGAAGAGTATCTTATTGGGTAGCGAGGCTCCAACTTTGGGTCGGACCAAACCCACGAGTTGAGTTTGGCATTGATGGTGCATGGGTAAACGAGATGAAAATTTGGAATTCTGATATGAATTCTTGGATAAGGGTATTGTTGTCGTCCGATGTCTAAAACATGTATAGGTTAGTAATCGGGTACGGGAGATACCACGAGATGCACATGAGATATGTGCAGCAGGCATCAGAGGTCGGGGTTGAGTCGATCTTCGGTTGGATTGTAGTTTTCGTATGAGGTAAAGAGAATTTTGTGACTTGTGTGTCACTAGGCCGAGATAGTTGACACGAAAAGGAAGTTAGTGAGACATTCTCAATCATGTCATGGGTAACCATGGAAGTTCAACTATGGGGTTGAGGTTCTATGAGTTTTCCTATTGCAACAGCCATCATTCGAGCATCAGTATGCCACCCGTTGAGCTATTATATGGGAGGAGGTGTCGGACCCCCAATTGCTGGGGAGAGGAAGGGAAACATGTGATGGGTAGTACAGAGATTGCGTTTCAGACGACCGAGCAGATTCAACAGGTCAGACAGAGGTTGTTGACAACTCAGAGTCTCCAGAAGAGTTATGCGGATAGGCGCTAGTCCGAGCTCGAGTTTCAGGTCGGCGACTTCGTGCTCCTAAGGTCTCTCCTTGGAAACGAGTGATCCGATTCATGAAGAGGGGAAAGTTGGGGCCCCGATATATTGGACCTTTCAGGGTGATCGTGAGAGTAGGCAGGGTAGCCTACTATTTGGAGCTACCTGCAGAGTTGAGTCAGATTCATGACACCTTCCGCGTGTCGCAGTTGAGAAAGTGTATAGCCGACGAGTCGGCAGTGGTACCATTAGAGGATATTCTGGTGGATGCGAGCCTGAACTAAGTTAAGAGACCGGTGGCGATTAGGGATCGGAATATCAAGGTTCTGAGGAACAAGGAAGTGCCTCTGGTGCAGGTCCAGTGGTAGCATCGGAAAGGGACAGAGCTGACTTGGGAGCCAGAGCGCGAGATGCGTGAGCAGCATCCAGAGTTGTTGCAGAGTGAGACTTCAAGGGTGAAGTCTGATTCTAGTGGGGGAGAATTGTAACATCCGGATTCCCAGGTATATTATTTTATTCATTTATTTTGGAGTTTGTGGAGGGACTCGGCGAGTTGGTGCTTAGACTCGCCGAGTAGGGTCGCGGATTCTCATCCGGGTTCATGACTGGACTCGACGAGTCCACGCTGTTTAATGAAACCCTAATTTCCCGGGTTTGAGACCTATTTAAAGGCCCTTAAGGTCGTCATTTGCGGCTACCAAACCCAAAGAGAAACCCTAAAAGAGCTAGAGCGTTTGTGAGAGGAAAGGAGCCATTTCTTGATCTTTGTGGTTGATTCTTGCAAGAAGGAGGTGTTTCCAGCTTAGAGGAGACCAAGGAGGTGGTGCATCTGTGGATTTCGAGCAAAAAGACTTCATCTTTGAGGTACTATATCGCCCCTTTATCTGTTTTGTTGAAGTAATCCATAGATATAGAGTTTTCATATCCTTTAATGGGAGAAATTGTGAGAATATGGCCCCTATTCACTTTGAGACTTCGCATCTGGACCCATCGTGGTCTAAAGAGCTTATCTCAGCTTGCTTTATGTTGAGCTATGGAGGTGTTGAGCTTAGGATGTTATTTTTGGGGCTAAATCACCAAGTGAAGCCTCCTAGACGTCCTATGAGTGTCAAGATTCAAGCTGTTTATCAAGCTTGGGAAGGTCAAATTTATGGATAAAGGGAACAGATCTGACCTCAGGAGGTCAATTGAGCTTGTGCATGGCATGAACTCGCCGAGTCCAAGGGCAGACTGGGTGAGTAGGGTTAAGGTTTCCCGTAAATGACTCAGTGAGTAGACTTGCCGAGTTGGGGGAATAACTTAGTGAGTCAGAAAGGGATTAGAGGACTGGAGTTCAAGGCGGAACTCGCCGAGTTGATCTTGAGACTCGGCGAGTTGAGTTGGGGTGGCCCCGCGATTCATGCCAAGTGTGACTCGTCGAGCAAGGGGAGGGACTCGACGTGCCAAGCGGGACTAGAGAGTTAGTGGACACGTGTAGACTCGCTGAGTCGCCTAAGTGCACTCGATGAGTCGGGTCAAAGTTTGACCATTGACTTTTGTTGACTTTTTAGGGTTTGGTCAACAATGAGGCCTTCGAGCCGAGAGAGGGGTAAAATGGTCTTTTACCCTTCTGAGGATGCCAAGAGAGAGTTGAGTCTAGTGCCGAGAGTTATATTTATGAGAGTATTTACCTTATGTGATCAGGCGGAGGCTAGACCATATTTCTACCGAGTCAGAGATTTACCGAGATATCTGAGGTGAGTCTTCTCACTATACTTTACCTTGAGTGGTAATTAGAGCTATGTGACAGAGTTATTGTATGCTACTTATGTGTTGTGTTGCACTGCATTATTTCTATGTGATTTATGCCGTGTGTATATCAGAGTTAGAACCAGAAGGTTCACAGAGCTCAGACCATAGGGTCCATAGAGTTAAGGCCCAAGGGCCCACAGAGTTATAGCCTCGAGTGGCTAGTATAAGTTACGTGTGGTATTTTGGGGAACTCACTAAGCTTCGTGCTTACAGTGTTTTGTGCTTTGTGTTTCAGGTTTTCTCAGGATCACGGGACGGCACCGGCTCGATTGTACACACCAGAGAAAGAATTATGTTTTAGAGGATCCTGGATTACTATTTATTTGATTATGGAGTTATGTCTTTTTGTAATTTAAACAAAAAGGAGATTTTTATGAAAAGTTTTAAAGAAATAAACTATTTTAAAATGAAAAATTTGTTTTAAAAATTACGGTGTTACATATGTGAAATTCTTGATTTTGAACTTTTCATGCTAGTTATAAATTTTTTGGATCATATCCAAAGTTTTTTACATACTATAAGGACAAATTTTACAGTTTTGTCTAAAATAGCAAACTTAGGAAGAGGAAGAAATTCATATATAAATTAAGATTAAAACAATATTTTAAAATATACACATCAAATTATTATACTAAAATATCTTTAAATTTATTTTTGTTAAAAATAATAATAATCCCAAATGACGCCATGACGATCAAGATTTCAACAAAGATAACTAGGTGATGTGTGTATAATCGCACATGATATAATATGGAAACTAAATTGGATGCGTATGGAAACTAAAAATACCGAATTATTACTGATTTACGTTAACCATAATCTTATTATACATATACAATATCACAACAAATTAATAAAATAATATAGGAACATTGAGCAATAAATTAGATAAAAATTCGCCAATCCGCTTAATATTTTTAATGGTCGTCTGGTCTATAAAGCATCAACAAACGGTTATTCAGTGGTTGAAGAGGCCTCGCATTAGCCCCAGCATCCTGTTACACCATCAAAAAATAAAATAAAAAATAGCACACATAGCATATATTCATATAAAGAGTATAAAATAATTAAACTATGTGACCACTTACATCATGAACAGCCTTGCGGATTAAACGAAGTTGTGCTCGTGAAACCGTTCTTACCTGATATTAAACAATGTATAGTAATTTAATGCCATATGATACCAAATATATTGATCAAAAAACATAATTAAATGATTTAAAACTATATAAAAATTACTTCTTATACCTTTTTAGCAATGGTCCAAACAACATTTTCGGTGCATGGAGGAGTCGTAAGCGAGCCAATGTATCGGTAATATTTTTTGCTTCCAATCTTTATTTTTCGAGGGTCAATTATTCCCACTCTTTTTTCAACCTTTCTCTTAGAACATAATGCTTTAAGATATGGTTCCAACTGATCACATATTTAAAAAACACGAATTTCAAGATTTTATACTGAACAAAAAACTAGATGAAACTTTATATTGGCAAGGAGAATATGTTTATTACGTACCTTTGATAGAAACGAATCAGGATGACCGATCTTATACAAGATTCCAACCACTGCAATTCTTTTATTTCTGCTTTGATGAACTAAGTGTAGCTCTAGATTAAACCTGTATGAAACGTATATATAATTTTTTATTTTTTCCAACTTACTAAATATTATTATTATTATTATTATTGTATTTTGTAAGAGTAAATTAAGTACCTTCGACCATTGATGGTGTGTTCTGTAGGAGTGTGCCAATGAAGCTGGTTAAGTTGATACTTAGTTTTGTTTATATGAATATGTCCTGCTCCTCGGACCCATCTCAACTATTATATTTTCATAGTAAACTATTAATTAAATAATAAAATTATAAAATTACCATCTATATATGATCTAACTATAATAAAAATGTTTCTTTATAATTTTAATAATAATAAAAACGTTAAACACCATGCATATAGTTATACCATCAAATCATGGCCTCTATTAATAAGAGTTGTGTTTGCAGGTTTATAATCTCTATTAATTTTTCCAAGTTTAGAGGTTGTATGAACCCTTTTATGTGTGAGATCAATCGGAGACTGCAACTTTCCTTTTTTACACAATCTCCATTCAGGATGGATCTCTCCCCAATGATCTGGCCCGTTTGGACTATTCATATCGTAAGTGAACTCACTTTCATCATCTACACCACCATCAATTAACATCATGTTTCAAGAACATGGATATTTTAAACTAATTAAACAACCAGAAAAACGATGTAACATTGATATTAAAATTAGCAAGAACTTACCAACTTCTTGAGAGATAGCAAAATGTGCACAAAAGACGATGATAAGAGCAATCAAGATTGAAGAAAATTGCAAGTGTTTGTTATCCATTTCTTTGTTGTTACGTGAAATCTTTTCAGGTTTTTTGATATAAATTTTCATCTTTGCGTATGTATGTATATATAGAGGGAGATTAGTGGGTCAGGTGGGTCAAGAGGAGGGTATGGGTGAAGAAATGGGAGTTTGATGTTGGCAAAAGATCATATTCAATTCTTGAAAAGACTTGGAACTTTTTGTGTTTAATTGTTTTTAAATAAATTTTTTCGTCGGTTTTGGCAGGTGAAATTTGAGTTTGGAGGCACCTATCAAATTAACAATAGGTCAACACCAAGTGTGCAACTCGTACATTTAGATTTTTTAACCAATAAATATAATATATAATCTACTCCTAAATTAGCACTTAAATCCACGATAAAACTTGAACTCTCGACTTCAAGGAGGAAGGGCACCACTTGATACCGCTGAGCTAGAAGCCCTTTGGTACTCGTACATCTATTGATACATGTTTCTCGATGTGAAGCGAACATAATCTTCCTATCTAATAAATGAATATGGTTAATCTCATTTTGCCATGTGTCAAACTATTAAATCAATAACACGCCACGTGTCATTGTTTTGGTTCTCCGATTTGAATTTCATTTTACAACTCATACGCATAAATACTCATAAATTATTATATGATAACAAAATATGTCAAAATATATCAATATTACCCACCACATCTATCCCCTGATTAAGGGATATTTACCTAATTTTGTTACACTTATTATGTTTACATTTTCAAGAAAGTCAAGAAATATTAATGTTAGTAGATTTTGAGATTTTTCAACGTCACGAGAGATATATTAGACCTGCATATGTATTAAAATATTCGTGTTTTATTTTTTTTTGAAGAATTTATAAGTTTTTTAAATACAAAATTTTTTCTTTTGTCGTATGAAAAAAAACTTCATAAGTTCAGAAACATATTTTCCCGTTTATTTATAATGTGTATGCATATCAAATTCCCGAAATTCCTAAAAATTAGCAAAATTTCAAGGAAATTAAAGATATATCAAAATTAATAAACATCATTGACCAAATCAACATAATTTATCATTCAAAAATCTAAAATACGGTAATGATAAATTAATTTTGATATGTATTTAATACCTTCAATATAATCAATGTACAACATCTGTAACGATTTCAATACCTTTTGTTTTACAATGACAATTGACAAGATCCAAGGACAATCCTTATCTAAGGTTGGTTTGTTTTTGAAAGATCCGGTTTTTACACATGGTCAATTATATGTTGCCATATCTAGAGTTCAAAGTAGATAATGATTAAAATTGTTAATTTTATATAATGATGATAAATTTACAAATAAAACTTATAATGTTGTTTATAAATAAGTTTTTAGAAATTTGTAAATTGTTTGTAAAATATTATTTATCATAACATGTTTTATTATTGTTGTTAATAAGACTTTGTTAAATTTTCTTTTATAATTGCTTACTTTTTAATAATATATGTTTATTTTAACAACTTAATTTTCTTAATTTTCTGATTATATAGCTATTTTAATTTTATAACCGTGATTTCCACGTATTATAAACTAGTTTTTACTAAAAGAGTAAATTACTGAAATCGTCCCTGAGGTTTGGTCAAAATTATACGTTTGGTCCCTAACTTTTTTTTTGCACTCGGATTGTCCCTGTGGTTTGATTTTGTTGCGTTTTTCGCCCCTATGGTTTGGTAAAAATTATATGTTTGGTCCCTAACTTTATGTATGTAAGGGACAAAAAATGCAACAAAATCAAACCACAGGGACGAAAAACGCAACAAAATCAAACCACCAGGACGATCCGAGTGTAAAAAAAAAGTTAGAGATCAAACGTGCAATTTTAACCAAACCAAAGGGACGATTTCAATAATTTACTCTTACACCTATCCCACGGATTATAAACTAGTTTTTACTAAAAGAGTAAATTACTGAAATTGTAACATCTCGAAATATCAAGAGTAGAGTTGAAGGGCTAAAAGAGTAAATTAGGAAAGAGTGACTCGGCGAGTCCATGTGTGGACTCGGCGAGTAGAGTCGCGACTTGGTCGCATGTTAAGTGGCCGACTCGGCGAGTCAGTGTCATGGACTCGGCGAGTAGGCGCTGAGTGGAGAAAACCCTAATTCTCGGGGTTAAGCCTTATATAAAGATCATTATGTCTTCCTCCCAGCCTCTTTATCACCCCTTGAGCCCCAGAAAACCCTAAATCACGGAGAAGCACCATTGTTGAGTGGATTGGAGCTTGGAGAAGTAATGGTTGAAGGAATTTTGGGAAGATTGAAGGCTTGGAGCAAGGGGCTTTGCTTGGACTTGAATTGCATTGCAGTTGGGGCATCACTTAGAGGTAATATCTCGTTTTTGACCTGTTGTTATGTTGTTTCTTCATTTTGGGGTTTGTGAGAAATTGTCTATGGATGAAATGGGAAGTCTAGATGTTAGATCTGAGGTTGCTACCTCAGATCTGGAAGGGAGAAGAATCAGAGAGCATGAAAGTCCCTGTGTTGGAGTGTTTAGTGAAGCTTGCATGTCCCAAACCCTAGCCCCAATGTGCAAATGGCTTAGATCTCTTTGGATTCACGTAAAGTTTGCCACTTTACGTGATGGATGAGTGGTAGGAGACTGGATCTATGTTTTGGAGCAGTTGCATGGCCTGGAATGCTTCGGAATGTATTCAGACCGGTGGTACTCGGCGAGTCACATGGGTGGACTCGACGAGTTGGATGAAGATGGCCTGGAACTCGGCGAGTTGTATGAACAACTCGGCGAGTAGGTTGAAGATAGCCGTAGACTCGGCGAGTCTGTTCTTGGACTCGACGAGTCTTGTCGAAGAGTCCCAAACATTCTCTGGTTGAGTCGAGAATCGGTGAGTCGAGGGATGACTCGGTGAGTCGTGTGCGAGTGGACTTAGAGTTGTTGGACTCGGCGAGTCTCGGGGTGACTCGGCGAGTTAGGTCGCAGCTTGAGTGAAGTTCTGATTATGGGAACTCGACGAGTCACAGGGATGACTCGGCAAGTAGGGTTAGTTAGGGGTTGACTTAGACTGAGGACTTTGGTTTCGACCAAGGGTTGGCCGTTGACTTTTAGGGTTTGGTCAGCGATGTGGCCTTTGGGCCAAGAGAGAGGTAAAATAGTCTTTTACCCATAAGAGGGTGTTATGAGAGGATTTATTCTAGCCTCGAGAGTTATATTAATGAGAGTTTTTGCCTTACGTGTTAGGCGGTGGCGAGTTCGAGATTCAAGTGTGGGGATATCTACTTTCTGCTTGCCAGGTGAGTCTTCTCACTATACTTTACCTTGAGTAGGTAACCAGAGTTATGTGATCAGAGTATTTGTATGCTATTTGTATGTGATGTGTTGTACTGCATCATTTCTATGTGATTTATGTTTGTGCATGTTTATAGAGTTGGAACCGGAAGGTTCCCAGAGTTAGAACCTGAGGGTTCACAGAGTTTGGGTGCACGGACCCATAGAGTTATAGCCTCGAGTGGCTAATATGTGTTATGTGTGGTATTTTGGGGAACTCACTAAGCTTCGTGCTTACAGTGTTTTGTGTAATGTTTTTCAGGTCTCTTTCAGTATCACGGGACGGCACCGGCTTGATTGTACACACCAGAGAAAGAGTCATATTTTGGAGGATCCTGGTTTTCTATGCAAGTGAAAATGGAATCATGTTTTGTAAATCGACTATGAATGAGATTTTAAACAAGTGTTTCTAAGAATAAAATGATTATTTTAAATGAAAATTTTGTCTTGAAATTTACGGTGTTACAAGTTGGTATCAGAGCCTTGGTTTGAGGGATTCGGATGCGCCTTCGGGTAAATCTAGACTCAAACTGAGGAAGTAAGAAAAGTTTTTAAAGAAATAATTTTCTAAAAGTGAATAAGAGTTCAAAGAGAAAGCAAGAAGGAGCAGTGTGTACAATCAGCCAGAGCCCGAACGGTGATTTCCCAAAATACCCTTACTTTTGTATTATGAGATATTTATGATGCACTTTATAAGATATTATTGCATGCTAGAGACAGGCTAGGTATTTCATATGTTAGGACTAGAGTGGCCTGATTTGTGATGCTTTAGCCTAGGACTCGTTGTTATATGTGTCATGCTTTTGAGTATGTGATGAGTGAGAGTATCCAGTTAGAACCCATGAGGGGTAGAGTTACAGAGTTCGGTGGTACTTCCGAGGATGAGCCGAGAAGGTGGAGTTATCACAGAGAGGGAGTCCTATGTATTCTTCAATGCTCGAATGCTGCTTGCTTTGTGCTTTGTGGAACTCTCGATGATGGGAGTCAGCTACCAAGTGAATATGACGATATTCAGGTGGTAGATGGCTGGCATCATTAGGAGCTCTTCAGCAGCTGATAGCAAAGAAGTGGGAGGACGACGGAAGAGCCTAGGGAATAACCCTATCCAGATGAGTGCGCTTGAAGAATAGAGAATTTCGCTGGGGAGTGAGCACGTGCGATGGGATTGGTGAAAGAGCAGGTCGAGCAGCTATTTAGAAGCTCTGGGATGGTCCGTGTGGAAAGTATGGGTAGATGTGGCAGGTAGTATAGGCCCGTACTACTGAAAGCAGAGGAACCATACTTGATACAGGGAGTATTCTGAAGGTTCTAAGGAGCAGATTGAGGAGTGATGTTATGGTTTGAGTACCATACATCGGAGCGGATCGAGGGGTGATGTTATGGTTCGAGTACCATACATCAGAGCAGATTGAGGAGTGATGTTATGGTTTGAGTACCATACATCGGAGCGGATCGAGGGGTGATGTTATGGTTCGGGTACCATACATCAGGGCAAATTGAGGAGCGATGTTATGGTTCGGGTACCATACATCAGGGCAGATTGAGGAGTGATGTTATGGTTCGGGTACCATACATCAGGGCAGATTGAGGAGTGATGATATGGTTCGGGTACCCTACATTAGAGCAAATTGAGGAGTGATGTTATGGTTTGAGTACCATACATCGGAGCGGATCGAGGAGTGATGTTATGGTTCGGGTACCATACATCAGGGCAGATTGAGGAGTGATGTTATGGTTCGGGTACCATACATCAGGGGAGATTGAGGAGTGATGTTATGGTTCGGGTACCATACATCAGAGCAGATTAGGGAGTGATGTTATGGTTAGGGTACCATACACCGGGGCATATTGAGAAGAGATGTCATGGAATGAGTACCATGGTTCGTAGTGAATGATGTTTGTGGTTCTCCGGTTATTCGATCATGAGTAAGTTCGAAGAGGCGTCCCTTGAGAGGGAGATCGAGAGTCCC